GTGGGAGTCGGGCTGGACGCCCACGCTTCCTGCCGTGACTCCGCTCAGCAGTGTCCTGTCAGCAGGGCCGCCGATCCAGGACCGCCAGCGGCTCCGAGGGGCCGTCCAGCCCGCCCGTCCCCAGCGGCAGCTCCGCGATCACCCTGTAGGGGGGCCGTCAGCCCCAGCATCACACGCGGAGCATCTTTCTCTCCTGGGGGAGAGGAAATTGGGTTGGTTTCATTGAATTCAGCCCTAAACGTCCGAGAAGCAGCCTGTGCAACGATGTTTTTCTCCTAGTTCTTTGGATCCGATTCCCAGGAGTGGATTTGTGCCATCCGGCTGCCGGCGGGGCCTCCGGCGGGGGGCGAAATATGCAGTTTGACGGTTCACGCAGGCGACGTCTGTCCTTGTCCTGACCTTTTATAAGGAGGAGCCTGCGTGCCGGTGCAGACGCCGTCGGGCCGCGAGGCTGAGGCTGAGCCACGGAAGCGGGGGGCAAGGTAACCCCGGAGAGGGCGGCAGGTGTGTGTCGGGGGAGTTTCATTTTTTTAATTAAACAAAGCCAGAGAAATGCAGGCTTTATCCTCAGAGTGATGCTTTGAAGCCACTGGAATTGAAATTGCTTTGAAAACACCAAGACCTCGTCTTTTCACTAGAGCTGTTTTTCCCAGAAGGTGCCCCCAGGGGGTAGCGGGGAGAAGCGGGGGGACCCTGAGGGCAGGGGTCTCACCCTCGGGGTTCCTCTGGCTGCAGGTGGACCTGAGGAGTCTTTGCCTGGGGACGATGAAGACCTGCCTGCTGCCCAGGGTGGCCCTCTGCCTCCTGCTGGGGGCTCTGGCGGGTGAGCCCCCGCTCGCTCCTCTCTGCTCACCCTCCTGGCACTGGGGCGGCTGGCAGGGCTCGACCCTGGGGGCTCCCCCGTGACTGCTCTCGTCTTGCTTTGCAGGGGCCAAGCCTGTGCAGGACGAGGGAGGTACTGCGTCGCCCTCCCTCCGGCGGGGCTGGGGAAGCTGCTTCTCATACTCCCTGCGGGTGGAGGGGGGCCTGGGTCAGTGCAGAGGGAGGCCCAGCCCTGCGGACCGAGGGACTGGAGCTGCTCCCCAGGCCCCGCGGGGACCAGGCAGGAGGGAGCCGGGACTCTGCATGGGGTGGGAGCCTCTGATGTTTTTACCTCAGACCCGAGTCCTAGCTCCGGGCAGCAACGTGCAGGCTCCAGGGCTGGGGTGCTGCGGTCTCCCCCCGAAATCCCACCAGGACACCCCCACGTCCTCACCAGCGTTCCCTCCCTGCTCGGTGTCCCTGGGACAGGGGCCAGACTTCCCCTTTCTCCCCGCCCCCTCCTCTGTCCCCGACACCAGGAGGCCGGGGGGCAGGGCCTGGGTCATCCCGCACTGTTCCTCTGATGAGGGGCTCAGGGTACTTCCCAGGCTGCACCCCCACCCGGGAGGGTCCCTTCACTGCCCTGGCACTGCTGAGCACCTCCACCTGCCTGAGGCCCCTGCAGAGGGGGCCGGGCAGGACGGTGGCAGAGCCCTGAGGCCGCGTCGTGTCTTCCAGACCCCTATGCCGAGCTGCCGGCCATGCCCTACTGGCCTTTCTCCACCTCCGACTTCTGGAACTACGTGCAACACTTCCAGGCGCTGGGGGCCTACGCCCAGATCGAGGACATGGCCCGCACCTTCTTTGCTCACTTCCCGCTAGGGACCACCCTGGGCTTCCACGTCCCCTATCAGGAGGAGTGAGGGGCCCCAGCCTGGTGGCCAGGGCAGGCGGGGACCTGGGGGGCCTCGGGCCTCAGCTCAATAAACTCCTGACTTAAAATGCACAACACACTGTGGTTTTCTTTCAAGAGACAGACGTTCCCCTTCTCGTTGACAAATGCGCCCGCTCCTTGCGTACCAGCTAAGCTTTAATACACATGTGCGCAGTTCCTGTCCACAGAAGACACAGCAGCTCTGGCTCAGGACTCGCCGCTTTATGTGCCACTTGCTCACCTAGTCCTCACAGGGACCCCAGGAGGGTGCTGCAGGTCCCCAGAGGGTGGTGGGGAAACAGAGGCAAAGAGACACCAGGCAGCTGCCTGACTTGTTGACGGAACCCCGAACCCGTCCAGGCGGCTTCGCCCCTGAGCCCCTGCCCTCGGCCCCTGGGCCAGGCAGCAGACAGACCTGCGGTGGCCAGCCCTGGCGGCCACATTCACACTCAGCCCGCTCTCGAGGGCAGTTCACACCAGCAGGAGCCCCATCTGTGAGGAAGCGCCAGGCACCTGGGTGCGCTCGGTGTGCGGGAAGCGGGCTGCCCTGCCACCTGTGCAGTCCTGAGGGCAGGTGGCGTGCACGGTGTCTTGGGGACCGTCCATTCACATGGGGGCAGCGACTTTGCAGGTGGTGAGCCCTCGCAGGCGGGCGTGCAGGCTGGCCCTGCCGGTCACACCCCATCAGATGAAACAGACCGGTCCAATGGGCTGCAATCAGCTTCACCATTAAAATCAAATAACAGAAAGGATCGTCTATTTCACTGCAGATGCTGGTACTTGTACGAGCTTCTAACTACAGAAACTGCTATGCGCAGTGAGACACATGTGAGGCTTAGTGAGACTCCGGTGTCACACGCTGCATTTGGGAGGAAACAGGCGATGGGCTCGGATTTTGCCCCGCTGCAGGCCAAGGGGCTCGGCAGGCTGTCCCTGAATTTTTTGCTGCTCAGAGAGAGACTCGAGCCATCTCAGGTGGTAGGGGAGGTTATTGTGACAGTTCTCACAAGGACAGAGTGGGGAGACTCTCCTGGGACCCAGCCAGGCCCTGAGGGACCTGGAACGGGGGAACAGTGGTGCCTCCTGTGGCCACCCCGATCGCTCCAGCCCTCCACAAGGGGTCCTGCCCCATCACCTTCACCTCCTGTTGGCAATGGTGGGTGCTCTTGGGAGGAAGACTGTTGGCCGAGCCAATGGCTTTGGGAAG